GTTTAACTTGTCTACTAAGGAACCCATTCATATTGTACTATGGACTTTATGCCAGACTAAATTTTCCCCATTTTTTCACCATATTCTTACTCTGGCATAACAGAGTTCTCTGGAAGTCTTCCCATGATGTACAGCCACTTCTGGTGGCTGTGCATGCAAATCTGTCATGCCAGTGTGAGAAGACAGACTCCTGATTGAAGATAGCAGGAAGAAACAGAGGAAAGTGGGGAAATGTCATGGGATGGCTGGCCATCCCCAAAGATGCATCTTGCTGGGGTAGGTTGTGCTCCTACTATTAAGGATGCTTGCTCTTGCTTTCCTCTGCTTACCTCCTTTCTTTCCTGCCCCTTCCTGCCTCTGTAGTGGTCAACAGCCAGTAAAAATGACGCCTTCCAACTTCTGCAGCAGGCTGTGGACTGGTGGTAAGAACTATCTCAATGCCAATCCAGAGTCTGACACTCTGGATTGGTCCCAGAATAAAGTTTCCATGTAGGATCATCTCAAGTTATAATTAATTAGATGCAGTTTTCCCTCGTGTCTGACTTGTTCAAAGCAAGCAGGCTGGTTGGCCAGCTGGAAGAATATCTCAATCTCATATGGGACCAGTATATACTGGAAAATAGTGAATGGAGTATCACATTAATTAGAGTGAACCCCATAAAAAAGTTACATTTGGTGGTCCTTTTGACAATCAGGCCCTGGACTTCCACCTGGAGATCTACCACAGAAGCACTACATCTTCTTAGAAAGCATGCAAAAATATTTCATTTAGAGCAGAAAATATACATACTGAATACAATTGAACATTTTGGCTATGCATCCAATAGCAACAAGAATTCTTGTGGTATCAGAGAGATGAGAAACAAATGGGTCTTTCTGCTGACATTAATAGCAAAGCCTCTATTGTATGGAGCATGGACTACACCCTAAAACCACAATGAAATTTGTAAAGCAGAACAACCCAGCTTTGAATTTGTCAAACACAATAATGTTTTATGTACAGGGGGAAAACATATTGCTCTGAGAAATATGAATTATGTTGTGAGAGAAAGAAAGAAAGAAAAGAAAAGAAAAGAAAAGAAAAGAAAAGACCAACCAGAATATTATTTTATTTATTCATGTTCCTGGCTTCTGGGAGATGGTAGCTCACTGAAAAAGAGGGGAAATTGTGGGAAGAAACATTAAAAATTGCTTTACAGACCTTTGAAAACAAAGGCTCCCTTTTGTATTGAACCTTCTGGGCTTGCTGGGAAACATCTGAAGAAGATTTTACTACAAGTATTTCCCTTTGGCTTATTGGAGGTGCATTCCGTATTCTCTTTGAGAATGGAGCAGGGCGAGAGTTCTCTTCTAGGGTACAAGGCTATTCTGTCTTTAAAACTTGGATGAGTAAAAAAGAGGATTTTTCCTTTTAAGTTTGGAGGTGTCCATTGATAAATGTGTACTGTGAGCTTTTTACCTTTCCTTATTGTAAGACGATTCTGTATTCCCTTTCAAAAGCTAGAAGGCAGAATTTTTTCCTTTCATTGCACTTTTTACAAGCTTATGCTAAGATTTAAAGAAATGCATGGGGAGAAGTATTCTATGCTTGTTGTGCACACTGCACACACATGACTGAAGAAAATGAGAAAATCAACTTGCTAATAAGGAACGCAGACTTTTTCCCAGAAGAGAGGGAAATAATAGTGATTGGCTATTAGAAGTATCTTTAAAGTTTATTTATTTATTTATTTATTTACTTTGCTTATATACCGCTGTTCTCAGCCCAGGGGCGACTCACAGCAGTGTACAACATAGGAACAACAAAATTCAAGACATAGTATAAAAACAATTCTGGCCCCAGAGTGGCCGCTGGTGTTGGGGGAGGGGTGCTGATGTCACAGGGGACAAGATGGCAATGTCCTCCCGGCTCCCCTTCTTTATTCTGGCCCCAGAGTGGCCGTTGGTGTTGGGGGAGGGGCGCTGATGTCACAGGGGACAAGATGGCAATGTCCTCCCGCTCCCCTTCTTTATTCTGGCCCCAGAGTGGCCGTTGGTGTTGGGGGAGGGGTGCTGATGTCACAGGGGACAAGATGGCAATGTCCTCCCGGCTCCCCTTCTTTATTCTGGCCCCAGAGTGGCCGTTGGTGTTGGGGGAGGGGCGCTGATGTCACAGGGGACAAGATGGCAATGTCCTCCCAGCTCCCCTTCTTTATTCTGGCCCCAGAGTGGCCGTTGGTGTTGGGGGAGGGGTGCTGATGTCACAGGGGACAAGATGGCAATGTCCTCCTGGCTCCCCTTCTTTATTCTTTATTCTGTAAAAAAAAAGTAGTAGAGAAGAATACACACGATCTCAAATAAACTGGCTATGATAGAATCATAGATATGGGAAAAGATTTAAAAACTTGTGGCTTTTAAATGCACTTTATATGTTGCATCTTTCTGGACCAATATATAATTTTCATAGGCTTTGGGAACATGCACATAATACATTAGAATATATCCAACATAATGCTAACAGAGTGTAAATCTCCATTGCGTGTGCAAGGGTGATACATCTCCCTCCAAATGACCCAAGAAAACATATCCACAAGATGATTGGTGAGAAAATTGGCCACAACTCGTTTATTAATAACAGGAACAAGGGTTGGCAGCCATGCATGGGTCCTGGATCAAGGATCAGGCAGCCCGCTGCTGACTGAAGTTGCTACAATCCTGGGTGCCACCGGCACAATACCGGTCACCAAAACCTCGGCACCCCAGGGACCACAGGCGTTATCCCCCCTTCCATCAAGGGGTGATAACCGGCCAGCTCCAGGGCCCATGGCAAATGCCAAACACAGAGTTGTGACAAGATAAACAGGCTGAAAATTAGTCTAACATAACAGTCCCACAAAATCCCAACCAGCTAGCATGCAGGGTGGGTGGGATGGAAAGGCTGGGCCAGGCAAGGCCTAGCAAGGGCCTTGGGCAGCCTTAAGTAGGTTGCCCGGGCGGAAGCTGCAGGCTGGCCCTGGCCACGCCAGCAACAGGGCGTGGCCAGGCCTGCGATTGGCTAGGAGGCCCCAACGGCGGGAAGCTTTCCCGCCACCCAGGGGGCTTCTGGGAAGAAGAAGCCCCCTGTGCCTCATGCTGCCAAGGCCTCCCTGTGCCACAACCTGCTCGGCCCTGTAAGTCGGGCCAAGCCATTTCTCACCATAGTACTGGGTTTTGGTTTTACGTAATTTGCTGTGGAAAGCAGTTCTGCAACTTATTCAGTTGAACAAATTACTGTGCAACCCCTTACACCAGTAGTTCTCAATCTGTGGGTCCCCAGGTGTTTTGGCTTACAATCCCCAGAAATTCTGGCCAGTTTACCAGCTGTTAGGATTTCTGAGAGTTGAAGGCTAAAACATCTGGGGACCCACAGGTTGAGAACCAAGGTTTAGAGCAACTGATTGGGCAGGGATAGGGCTCACTTAATCAGCAAAGCTTTCCTCACAGAAATATACATATATATACAAATATACACAATTGGCTACACAACCAAAAGACCTCTATTGGATAGCACTTTTGTGTTAATTTTTTAGATGGTGTAATGGTTGACACAATAAGCCTTTTGCTAGAAGTAGGGATGGTACATATTGATTTGTCTAATTCTCAATAGTTATTTGGAACAACTAAACGGTTTTCAGTCCCATAGCTTTGGTAAGCTGAGAAATTTTTTTTCTAGCAATGACAGGAATCTGTACAGCTTTTATATAAAATTTGTGCAACTTTCTTAGAAAACTGTTTTTCTGGAAATGGCACAGATTTTGGTACATCAACTGAAAACTGCACAACTTTTCTCATGGAAAGAAAATTGCACAGTGCCCATACTAACCACAATTTTTTTCTGCAACCCCCATGTATTTTGTGCTCAGAATTATTTTGTGCTCAGAATTATTTCCTGAAATATTTCAACACATTTGAATACTGATGGATATTGGTGATATATGAATTTTCTCCCATAGTGGAGAAAAAATGCAGATATTGTTCATCTTTTCATGTTAGGGTAAAATAATCAAATAAGTAAATCCCGATTCTCAACACACCATAAAATTTACATAATTAGTAAATATTTTTCATAATATGCAAATTCAAAGATTTTGAAAACTGTGGTATGGCAAATTATTGCATATCAGGCTCTGGGAAAGATTAATGGCTGTTTCATAGCCTAGAGCAGTGTTTCGCAACCTTCCTAATGCCATGACCCCTTAATACAGTTCCTCATGCTGTGATGACTCCTAACCATAAAATTATTTTCATTGCTACTTTGTAACTGTAATCTTGCTACTATTATGAATCATAATGTAAATACGTGATATACAGGATGTATTTTCATTTGCTGGACCAAATTTGGGAGAAATACCTGATATGCCCAAATTTGAATACTGGTGGGATTGGGGGGATTGATTTTGTCATTTGGGAGTTGTAGTTACTGGGAGTATTCTGAATTCCACCAATGATGGAATTGAACCAGACTTGGCACAAAGAACTCCAATGACCAACAAAAAATACTGGAAGGGTTTGGTGGGCATCGACCTTGAGTTTTGGAGTTGTAGTTCACCTACATCCAGAGAACACTGTGGAGTCAAACAAAGATGGATCTGGACTAAACTTGGCATGAATACTCAATATGCCCAAATATGAGCACTGGTGGAATTTGGGGGAAATAGACCTTGGCATTTGGGAGTTGTAGTTGCTGGAATTTAAAGTTCACCTACAATCAAAGAGCATTCTGAACCCCACCAACAATAGGATCGGACCAAACTTCCCACACCATGCCTTGAAGGGA